CTGTGGCTTTTTTTTGAGTCTGATAGCTGCTAGCTATAATTAGCAGTGCCCTTTATGCAACTGTCATGTCTCTGAGAGAAATCAGTGCTGTAGTTTTGTTTTACTTTCCTTTCCTTACCTAGACTTCTGTAAATTGAAATGCAAATGCAGCCAAGAACTTCAGGCTTTGAACCATATCTTATAGAGCTTCACTAATGTATGACAGTGTTTCAGCTGTAATACAAGATAGTGGGGAATAATGATACATGCTCATACAATTGTCTGGGGATCCTTTTAAGGATTAAGGGCTGGAAATCTTGAATGGGTTAGACAGATGTTTATTAGGTGTTACATGGTGTCATTTATCCAGCTGCTTGGACTAAAACCCTCTTTAGGTCCCCTTTTGACATATTTTCTAATGATTGTGTCTTTGTGGGATGATGATGTTACCTATAAAATGTTAAGTAGACCTGAGAACCAGCAAAGTTTAACTGAGGAGTTCCTCTGTGTATTTCCTCACGTCAAATAAATTCTTTCATTAAAAACACATCATTTTCTTTTGTCATAAATCTTACAGGACCATAATACCTCTGAGATGTCAGAAGACTTGATGAAAATTGGCTGATCTGTGCACTAGTTATTAGACAAGGGCTGATGTGCATGCGTACAAGCAGGCAGTGAGATTGTGAGCCTTGTTACACTATGAAATCAGGCTGAATTACACAGCTGATGCAACAACCTTACCTGACAATTTAACAAATGACCACTCAGCGAGTAAAAGAGGAAAATCTATATAAGGTTTTAACTATACTGAACATGGAGTGTATTTTTTAGTGCATTGAAGCTACATTCTTTGATATTCAGGCAATGTAAAGCCATTAGAATCCCTTCAAAGCATTTTTCCATTTACTGTGTGTTGCTGGATTATGACACAGGAACCTGAGCATACCACTGTATCTGATTCCTTTAGAGTAAGCATCACTGATAAAACAATTACTTTTCTCTCTACACTAAGGACTGTAATATCCACTAAGTGCTTATTGAGCAGGATTAAAATAAGGGATGACTTAATAGCATGAATTTTATGTGGGATTTTATTTCCCTGTGCTCCAATACTATCTACAGCTGAAGACAGGATGAACATAGCAGGTAATAAATTTGTGCTTGAGTTCAGTGCTGAGTATTTCTATTTAACACAGGAGAAGTTTTTGGGTTGTATTTAACCTTCTATATATAATGATATTGGAGTGCACCCACTCTAAAATCTCCTGTCAGAAAATCACATGAGATTCTATCAAGGAATGCTAATTATCTATGATTTTTCAGAGGTCTATCAATAATGACAAGCAAACAGGGCAAGTTGAGTGAGGAAGTTCCACGACTTTTCATATTGTCACAGGGACTGCAGTATTACAGGATGTGCAATATGTGAATGGTCAAGCAAAAGCTGGAGCCAAAAAGGCAGGTATAATCAGGAATAGAGAATACAATTCACTGCAGGAAAGAGAGCATTTATGGAAATGTGATAAGATTCTGTTCCTAGCAGGTGTGTGTGTGTGTGTGTGTGTGTGTGTGAGTGTGTGTGTGTAGGTCAACATATTCAGACACACATTCTACTACTGGGAGAGCATACTGTGATAACTAGCTGTCATTCTTGAATTTAGTTCCTCATTCTCCATGGTCATATTAGCATTGTGAAATGAGAATGGAAGGGAAAGATCTCTGTGATGTGGACTAAGCAAAAAATTCTGCTGATTTTGACAGTGTACACAATAGTACTAGGCTTGTGGCTTGGAAAGTGAGTAATTCAGAAGCATGTGCAAGGCTGGTAGAGATGCTCTTTTTCTTTTTCCCTGTGTAATTCATTCTAGTTAATTGGTGTTTGCCCCTTGTTTGATGCAATGCATGCTTCCTGGGAAACTATGAAGTATTGTGAAAAAAGGGTTTCACTTTTTAATGTGGTTTTAAAGAGCAGTGCTTCAGAAGGATGTTTTCTAATGGAGAACTCTGGAGGTACCAACTCTGATGTCTTTATTTGCAACAGGATGTCACAGCCACACTTTCTAAGGTCAAAAGCGTAATTCAGTGATATGTTCATTGTAATACTCCTTTTGCTCTGAATTTCTTCTTCATCAGGTGTTTAAATACGAGTTGATGTGCAAAAAGGACACAGTACTACTGTAGGTAAACATTTTAATCATAGAATAGAGTATCTCGAGCCAAAAGAGACCCACAAGGATCATGGAGCCCAAACTCTGACTCCACACAGCACCACTCAAAATCCAAACCCTGTCTGAGAGTGTTGTCCAAATGCTCTTTGAATTCCACCAGCTTGATCACTGCAGCCTCTTCCAGGGCATTTGGACACCAGGGCAGATTTCTGATCTCAGGTTTCCTTGGTTATCTTTTCTGCAAACAGCCATTTTTTCTTACCAGAAATACTATTCCCCTGCTTCCGATCATTCTTTTGTCGCTGAGCCAGCTCAGAAGCTTAAGATCATCATATTTGTCACGATAACAGAAATCATTTAAATTTGACTTTTATATCCCTTTGCTTCTAAACTGTCATCTCTAGCAAAATGTGTCTGTACTGTCATGGAGAACTAGCAGTGTTTGGTGTCATTTGTAAGGGATATTTCTGTAATGGCGCATAACTTGAACTTCCATGCTGTCCATTCCTTTACAGACTTCATGCTTTAAATTGCAAGGTTTTTAGATTTGCATTCCTTGGTTAAGGCAAGTTTTTGCTGGTTCTCCTTAGCAGAAACATCTCCTTAGGCAGATTCCTGAAAAAGTCGAGAAATATCCCCACTATTTTGGGATTCCAGGAGTCTAAAATTACTCATGAGCAGGGTGTGGGTATTTCCTTTGACATGAATATTTCCGGAGAATATATGTCAGTGGTACCTGTTGTCACTGCATTTTATTTTAGGCTCTTATTTCTTATAGTTCTTCATCTCTAAATTATCTGTGGAGACTTTTCAGTTCACATGAATGCATTGCTATGCTTATCGTCCTCACTATGTTCATTGAAGAATCTTGACAAAAGGCTTTTGTCTGCTAAAAGTATTGGCTGCTGCTTACTATAGGGTCACCAAGCATCATCACAAATTTATCCCAGCTTCATTTTCTTCCTCTCTTTCACAACTGCTGAATGTTTAAAACCTAGTGGGATTGAGAAAGCATGTTTAGGGTGGAGAGAACTAAAAAAAATTAAATGTTTCCTCCAGAAACGTTGATTCATGGAAACAGATTATTAAGAGGCCTCTAAAGAGCTCACATAGACCTCTGCAGGGGAGCAGGCAGGGGAGCTCACACTGTGATGTGTGTGCACTCCAGTGGTAGGGTTTATTGGCCATGTGAAATGTGGAAGGAGGCCACTTGTTCTTCCCTGGCAGGAAAAACTGTACACGTTCTTCTCCTGACATGCTAAAGAACAAGGGCACTCATCCTTCTTCTGAGTGATGGCATCAGGAGTAGTGTAGTAACAATGACACAACTATTGCTTATTTATCTGGAAAGTGATGTTTTTCTCATTCCCAGTCTGTGCTGGCTAGTGGGAAGAATGTGAAGGCAGGAACTCACCTTCTTGCCAGCTGCTGGGACAGCACTAAAATATTCAGATTGTTACATTTAGACTGTTGCAGATGATCATTAAAGTGTAGATATGATCCCTGAAAAACTGGAAGAGGTCTCACATCAGAATCAGCACCCTCACTAGGGCAGTGATTGATGGAAGAAGAAATTATGCTTCTTTCCCCACATCTTCTCAAGAAGGAAATCATAATGAGACCAGGCCAAAAAAGCCAGGACACCATGTTGATCTAACTAAAAAATCATGAGGTTGTAGACTCGAAGTGGCTGTTTGAATTTGTTTCTCTGCTTTGGCCCTGAGCTTTGTAAAGTGGTACAACTCTTGATTCACTGGTGTGCACAAATGAAGTTTGAAGCAGGTTAGTCCCCAGGACTAACAACAAGAACAGTATGGATGCCCAAAGGATGTTCATAGCAGAATTAAATAGAAATATTTTCATCAACTACTTTTCATGCCAAAATGCTGCCTGTAAAATAACAAGTAGAATGTACATGGAATTTCAAGACTTCAAACAGACTAAGGAAAGAATCTTCCGCTGATGGCTGCTGGAGATGTTTTTGAGAGAGGCTAAGCTGTTAAAGTTGCTTGTTAAGTTTGTCCTGTCTTCATTTGTGCTCATGCACATTAAAACAAGAGGGGAAGCCACCAGGATCTGATGTTCCCAACCTGATTCCAGATGACTTAATGGATAGGCTGAAAAGCAGAGCAAGCTCTGTGAGTAAAAGAGATAATAAATATAATTAGTCCTTTCAGTAGCCTGGGCTCTCCTGTTGTACCCCATTACCCACTGATGACTTCTGTCAGTCTCTGAAATGAGAGGTTGTGATGCTGAATGCTTGTTTCAACATTGAATTGAGAATGTCCTACCCTTACTCCTGTTTTAAATGGTGAGGGAAGCACCTGCCTGCATACTGCACACTACCTACCCCTATAATCTTCTCTGGGGTGGATCTGGAAGGTTGCATGTAGCATGCAGCTACTGGGAACAACAGCATGCAGAATGCTCTATCCCAACTGAGCTGGTTAGTGGGAGAAGAGTGGTGAAAGATGAAAAGAATGAGAAAATGCTTGTGGTTTTGTTTTGTTTTTTAAATGTTTGTTTTTTAATTTAAAAAGTTTGTTTTTTAATTAAAAGTCTACAGGAAAAACTTTATGCAAAATATTTTTTTTCCTTTTTTTCTTAAACTCCCTGGTGCCATCCACTGATGTGGTGGGATAATTGATGTGGTGTACTAATGCTGCATACTAGTCCACAATATCCAGGTTAGGTAGCATTTTAATATTTCAAACATGGTTGGCTTGTCAGAGCTGTTTTTCATCTTTTCACACCAATACAACAGGGAATTTTTTATGTGACTTCTGAAACTACTGGTCTCCCTATGGACTATCTTATGTACAGTAACTCAGAACTGTTTTTAAAACCCAGGCAGTGAATGCAAATGATCAGGATGCATAAATCTTCAGTGTTGAGGGAAGAAGACAAAGCTGGTATGCAATGGAAGGATGAACCACTGGTCTCCAGATATCTTAATGTCATCTCCTCCCACTTGCTCTTTTAAGTGACTGATCCACTTTCACAATCTTTTTGAGGTATGTCAACTCCACAGAGAAAAAAAAAAAAAAGATTCTTGCTAGATATCTTTTATGATTAAAGTGTTAAGGCACATCATTTGAAATCGAGGGGGAATCACTTTTGATTTCCTATTCTTTAGAGGCATGGAGTATGTATTCCTAGCTCTGGGATAGGGATAACCATAGCTGTGTTGATATGTTATGTTTCTTTACTCCAAAGACTGAAGAAAAGAAGCTTCACTCCCTTTGAAGTTTATCCTTCTGAGCTTAGTGCTGGTACAAGCAAAGCTTCAGTGTTCCCCTTTGGATATGTCTCATTTCTGCCTCAAAGTTTCTTTCATTTTTTTCCCTTCAAACTTGATGAAGTTAAGAGAACACAGAGCAAGCATGAAGTCAATATGAGGAAGGTTGTATCACCTTGGTTATAACCTGAGTGGAGAGGTAACGTCAGCAGCAACAGATTTCATCCACTTCTGATAGAAAAACACATTCTTCCCCCAGCCTCTTCATGGAGTGTTGCAGCGTGAAACGAAAGGGCACTCACACCACCTGTAACCAAGGCACCAGGTCAGATGCTCAGCTGAATGGCTCACTCCCTTAAGACACTCCTTCTATCTTCACTTGTGCTGTCATCTTCTGAAAGTGCCTCCTTCACCATGACTGCTGAGAATGGAGACCTATAACTTTGGCACTTCCATGAGATACAGAAAGTCAGATTTTGCAGACACCCTACAGAGCCCCATCAAAACCTTTCACAAACTTCACCATTCCACTGTCTCCTTTGAGATACACATTTCTGGAGCTGTTATATATTTGATATTTTCCGAATAAGTTTTAAGTGTTCATAATCAGCAGTTCATTTTACAGCACCATTCTGATTGTTCAAACTTTCTTCATTTAGTACACTATAAAGAGATATATAAAAAAGTGAGCTTCTCCCAGTCATTTTGAGTCATAGTTACTTTCTTCCATTTCTCATTTTTAATTGCCCTGTTATCTCTCTAGCTCCATTCCCATTCCAATGTATTAGGAAGAAAAAAAATATCCAACCTTCTGTTTTCTCCTAGCCCCCTTGACTAACAGTAACTCATTCTGGGATTTTAATTGCAATTTTAATTAAGGCTGCCTCAACCCTATTGGCTTAGAGCCTTTCATCACGCATAGCAGTTTTTAGTATGCAGTGCAGTGCAAGCCAGTCAGCAGGGACAGCCTGTGCGTAGAGGCTGTAGGCATAGAGTGGAGCATATAACATATTTTGCTTTACAAACCTGGGTAGGGAATAAGGAGATGAGAGGTAATTTCTTAGCTGTCTCGCTCATATATGAGTTTATTTTGTCACCACAACACTGTGTCAGTTCTCTGTCTTATCAGCTAGTTTTTTGAGGTAACAATACTCAGCGTCCGTACACCTCAGTCTAATCACCACTCTTAAACTTTGCAGCATTTCCTCATATAGGCACTAAACAGCACTCCCCTGCTCCAGCACTAGCAGTTCTTCTGTTTGCAGAATTCCAGAATGGCTTCCTTCCCTCTTGTGGATGCCACAAACCCAATATCAATTGCCTGTCCTGACCTAAAGCCTCTCCACCCCCTTTCTTCTACACCCATTGAACATCTTCCAGGTGGCCCAGGACAAAGGTATGTGATCTCACCTGGGAGCAGAGAAAACCTGAGATGGCAGTTCTGCCATCTTAAGCAGAGCAGTCATCTATCATTAATGCTTAGCTTTTAAAGCCTAAAGGACACTTATTACAGATGTGTTTCATGATTTGCTATTACTTCACTGTATATGACTCATCTTACTGACCCTGTGCTAACATCAAGTCCAGATTTGTGTTAATAGAGTTATGTTTAAAAGGTTGTGAGTGGGTGCTTCTGACACTGCAGTTGCTAAAAACAGCATTAATTCATTTCCAAGAATACAGAAATTTTAGCTTTGATAACATAGCCAAAACCTGCATTTCATCATCTTCACTGGCAAACAGCTTCACTTCCTACCTTAAACCTTGTTGGGATGCCTAGACAGTGTACGCAGTGATGTACACAGTGGAGCTTTTACTGCATTTATATATTCCAAAAAGATTATAAGAAAAAACAGTGACAATATTCAAATATACAAATGGTTGTCATTCCTCCAACTTTTCTGAGAATTACTGGTGTTTATAAAATGCACTGAATTTCTCTGATGAATTGTGAGCTGTAAGAACAGTCACTGTGACTAATCACAAATAAATCCCATGCCTCATAATTATTTTGGCTCCAGATTCTACAGATTTCATAATGCATTAGGAAAACATAACCAGCTATGTGATTGCATGGTAATTAGTTTAGGAAAAGCAACATGGATTTTGTTTAAAACAAGCTAATGTTCTTCATTCATTTCAGCTTCTTCAGGAAAATCAATTTGGGAAGAAATTCATTCCACATTCAGCAGCCAGGAGCTTGTGACAGTCACTGAGACAGTGACTCAAACACAGTGTTCAGAACCCTGGTATCAGATCAGCCTTTCCTGTAGTGAAGCTATTGATCAGGTTCTGAGGACCAAATTGTCACAAGGATGGAATCCACGGGTTCCCAATACCCTTCCCTCATAGTGACAGTCTCAACAATGAGAAACAGAGCAGCTACATAAATCAAGAATAAATTAGGAATACTTAATAAACAGCTTTCAACAGATTTTTAGCATATCAAAGTTAGTTTACAATGGAAACTTATCTGTTCTGATACAGCACTCGGCAAGGTTTGTTCCTCAGAAGACATTTATCCAACAGAAGTGTCAGAAATTAGACAATCCCAAATGTCGCTTTTTCATGGCTGTTGTTACCCACCAAAGCCATTCACTTTTACAGGCAGTCCCATGAGTAAAGGGAAATTTTGTTCCAAACAAGAAATAACCACAGGCTTATGCTTTATAAATAATTGCAATACCCATTCTTTCTCTTTCCCTCAAAGGCATGTAGGACTGATAGACGTTCGTCCACATAGCAGAACATCAGAAGTAATTACAAAACATAAATGAGGCTTATCCATTCATCTCAGCTACTCTGTCAGATTGTGTAGACAGCAGGCATTTTATCACACCTTACACGATTAAGTTTTGTAATAGCTTATTTTCTTCATGCACTACAACACCTTCATGCACTTAAGCTATAATGAAGCTCCGTGGATTCCTCTTTGAGAATCACTTCTAAAGTACAACTCTTCAGCTTTTCTTACCAAACAAAAACAAAAAAAAAGAGGATGCCATGAGAAAGGAAGAGGATTGTATAATTATAGGCAAGCTGCCCTCTTAACAGGAACTAAGCATGACTACACTGAATAGGGCTCAGTGACCATAAAGCAACAGGTGTTCATAGTGTTTTGGCTCCTCAGACTTGGTGCTCTAGAGCAGAAATTAATGAATTGATTTCAGAGGGGGGTCATAACATCTAATAGTGCAACTGTGGGTCTCACCAGCTCGAGCACACACAAAGCCCTCTAAAAATCACTACACTGCTTCTACAACCAAGTTGAACACCTACATATATGCTTTTCAGCAAGAAACGCAAATCAATTTTTGTTACTTTGTCCAAGACAGCAAATCTAGTTGGCATACAAAGAGCTTTAGTTCTGGTTGTAAGGAATATTTCTGTTTTCATTGATTCTGGGACAGATAAAAGACAGGAGCAAAAGAAATCTGCCTCCAGAGTTTCAGAAGATTCTTGAGATTGCCAAGTTTAATGATATTTCTCAAAACTTCACCAGGCTACTTTGAAACCCTTTCACTCAGAATTATCTGTAGGTTACTGTTGGTTATACATTAGTTTCATTAGTTACTTTACAAATCCTTAACTTTCACAATCTTTATACTTACTGACATATCCATAGCAAAATCTTTTAGCTATCTTCTACCTTTTCCTAGTAGTGAAAATTTTCCTTTCTATTTTTTTTTCTTTGTATGACTTTTTTTTTCTTTGAAAGAGCACTTTTAAAGAACAGCTCAATATAACATATTTATTAGAAACTGAAAACTCTTGTAGGCTTTTGAAGCACACTGAGTGCCCTGTGGAGTTTAGAGAGTTGCATCTTCTGTAGAATGCTGCAGGAAGTCTCAAGAGCACTACAAAAGGGGATTCATAACTCTTCAGAGGTTTCAATAGTAATTTTCAGCAGAATCTTTTCAATGTGTCCATAATTCTCTTATAACTTTAATAAGACCTCTTGGGACAATCCTAATGCATTCTTGTTTTGAATGCTCCATTTGCTTGGAAGTTTATGGTCTAAAGACTGAATTGTTACATATCCAAGGCTCTTATTTTTATACTATTTGGGCAATATCAGTGTGCCTTAGCATGAATATGTAGGCTAAAAAATGGAAATTAGGTACTATTAGGTACTATTTGTGTGAGCTCTTTTCGTCTGTTGGATTGGATTGAAGATAAGACTTCATTGTATGAAACCACTTCTTGGGTTCTTGTGGATGTGGACTTGAACTAATTCAAGAAGGAGAAGTTCTTTTTCAATTTTTACACCTTTGAATAATTTCTGTAAACCTATATTTGAATAATTTCTGTAAACCTATATTGGCTGCTTCTTGTCCTTCGCATTTTCTTTGTTCGTCCATTTTTAAATAACCAGACATGCACACTATTACAGTTCAATTTGTTCTTCAATATTGATTTTTTAGTCTGACATAAGATTTATGGTTGTTTGCAGTGACAGATCTTTGAAGCCTGGAGTTCTTGATAAAAGAAAATGTGCTGTTTCCTTCAGCTACATTGTCTGGAAGCCAGGAGGGCAAGGCACGCCAGGCCACCTGAGCTGCTCACCCTGGAGATGAAGGCTGTGCTTACAAGACCATTTAATGAATAGAACTCAAGTCCATTGTGTATGTCCTAATCAGATTTGGAATATCCGAATTTACCATTGTAAGGTAAAAAATATCCTAAAATGGGAGATGCTGCCTTACCTACCTAACATCACAAATGACAACATTCTTTCTTTCAAAGCAGGAGTCTGAAGTTCAAAGTTGGTTCAAGTTATATTCTAAAGTACAGTCAGGGTTTGCTTATACTGAGATGTGATTTTTACAGTTTACTTCTGGCTAACAAGGGGAACTATTTCTTCTAAAAGTCAAAGGTCCTGAAGGAGAAACATTTCCATTGCTTTCTCTACCAGTTGGTTCAAACACAAATCCAACAATGCGTGAACGCTCGGGAACAACAAAAAAGGCACCAGCAGCCTATAAGAGGAGTGCAGCTCTGCTCTTCTCAGGGCTGTTGCCCACAGTTACTGAGCAGGAGGCACCTATATCTAAAATGCAAATAACTCTTGGTGCACGTAGCATTGATCTCAGAGCAGCTTGAACAGAAAATGAACTCTGTCTACCCAAAGTCTAAAAGATAGCCAGGTGGAATAAGCCATCTGCATTTGCTCTTCTTTGTCCTGATCAGTGCTGGAAGGGAAAAGGATCATAGAGGCTCCATAGCTCCATGGCTGCTACCATCTGTTAGAGCAGGAAATGTCTAGCAGCAGGACGTAAGGCGGATGGCCAAGGTGGCCAGAGAATGCAGCAGTTCCCTCATGTCCCTCTTTTTCCTTACATAATCCCCCTGTCCACACACTGTGTGCTGTAGGAATATCCAGAAGGCATTAAAGCACAGCAACATCTTGGGAATTAGACAAAATATAGTATGATGCCAACAGTTATTGCAGGAGCCACCTCCTACTGTTCAAATTCTTTTTCAGATTCTTTTTTTAGACAAACAAACCTCACCTTACAGACAGCAATCACAAGTGGATCAACAAAAAAAACCTAGCCCATAAGAGATGACACTGTTGTGGTATTAAAGGTAATGAAAATAATAATAATAATAAAAAAAAAACCAAAATACGAAAAGTGACATCTAGTCAGTTAGCATCTTTTCTGTTAGAGCACATATATAATTTTTTTTTCCATATCAGTAACCTTTATTCTTTATTTATATACTAAGACTACAGAACAAAAGTAAATAGGACAGTTGTTGAAATTCCATTACTGTTTAAATTGAGTAAGTAACATTTCATATATAGAAGTATCACTTGTACAGTATATAATACGGATACTAAAATTCTCTGCTATCTTTAGCTACAGAAGAATCATTTTCCTCTCAAGTTTATATCACACAAGAATATGTAGAGAAAAGAAAATGATAAAAAAAATTGTGCTACTGGAATGAGAAGAAACAAGTCCTCAAACACACCAACTGTTAGATTGTCTTTTTTTGCTAAATACAAACAAACTCTTTTGAAAGCATACCATGGGATTGTAGTTTTAATAGGAGGAAGGCTTACTCTGAAACTATACATTTCATGAGCACTACAGTCTGGAGAGATGCTAAAATATATAAAAAAAAAGATTCTAATTTTAACCTAATTATAAACAGATTTTCATATTCATCAATTTCCTCTGTAGTTTAGTGATGCTATACTTAATATTTTTCTTGAGTATTCTACTTTCATAATCAAAACTATTTCAATATAAAATATGAGGTGAAAATTCAGTTTTCTCTTTAAGAATGAGCCAAAGAAAAATGTTCCAGGGACTTCATTTGTAGGACTGGAGGGGAGATCTTTTCCTGCTGCAAAGCATTGAGCCGTTTGTCAACAACTTAAGATAAAAAAGAAGTATCTTGGGAATGAAGTCACAAAAGTATACTGCACAATTGTATGTAAAATACTGTGATATATATTTTTCATTAATGTTTAATGCCTTAGGATAGTTATATCCAGCTTTTCTTTCAATGTGAACTTCCCAGAAGACAGGCAGGATTTATATGTACTCTGGTAACAGCACATTTTGTTCTCCTGAAATAATGTCTATCTATCACAAGATATGAATGGGAATGTCTAAACTGACTGAAGCCTGTGGCTAAAAATTTCAGAGTGCCTACCTGCCAGCCTCTGAATTAATGTTTAGGAAACGAACCACAAACCACTTGGCTTCCCTAAGGTGCTGTGCTCTTACAAGACCTTTTTAGTAGCGTTCCTTTGGGTCCCTTTGCTGGTAGAAATACTCATACAGATGCAGTGCCATGGGCCATTCATTGCTGTACAGCAACATCTCCAGCATTTGTTGCACATTTCCACCACAGTTCAGATGCCATAAGTAACTAAGGCCAGCTCTTCCAGAGCCATTGTCCCGGATGGTACTGAGAAAAGCAAAAAGGTTTTGGCCCATGGAAAAAAGCCACATAGTGGGGGATAATGGTGGGAGACATGGAGGCTCAGGTACCAAACTGTGTCATCAGCAGAGAAGGGTGTCCAGTAGGAAGGACAAATGGTGCCTGGCAACAGAGCGTCCGGGACACTGATGAACATATGGGGAATGCCTGAATGCACACCAACACACATAAAAAGCTGCAGGAAATAATAAAGGGTAAAGAGGGTGTCTGAGAATGGCAGAAAGGTAAGAAAGACCCTACCAAGGGTTTCTGGCAGAGGCCAGCTTGGAAATTGAGCATCTCTTCTATATGCTGTTGAAAATTTACTTTGCATGTGCATTATTTCTTGACTTATTTGGTGGCAGTAAACAACTGATTCTGTCACTGTTTTCTCCTCCAAGCATGAGATGACACTAAACAGCAGTTAGTGGCTTCAGCCATTGAGGATTTGAGGTGGAGGATGCTGGCAAGTCCTTTGTGAGACTGCAAAAACTGCTATGAACTGTACATATCAACTTCCTAATGATTATGTAGGCCTTTGCTGGTACTCTTTACTATGTTATTAAATGGCTATCCACACCTCTTGATGGTTGAGGTTCAAAGTAATCTTCTGTTTCTGTAACTCAATATTCCTGATCTAAAATGAGGGAAATAGAACTTTCTGACTCAAAGGCTGTTGGGAGATTGAAAGCACTGATGCTTTCTCTCTTTTCAGTGCTGAAAATCAGTAAGCAGCTCAGTAATTGTGGCATGATAATATCAAATAATAACTTATATAATTTTTGTGGGTAAAGAGATATGACAATGGACTAAGGATATAATTATTCAGTAACATACCGAGGAGAAAGAACTTTGCAACTGTGAATTTGATTATTACAGTTTTGTTTAGTAGGTATAAGCAACATCATTTCATTATCATCATTACTTTATGATTGGAACACGTCTCCTATGAAGAAGAGCTGAGACTATTCAGGCTGGAGAAGGCTCAAGGGGATCACATCAATGTGCACAACTACTTGAAGAGAGGATGCAAAGTTTCATTTACTTCTCATACCCCATATTAATTGCACAGATTTTCCCATTGCCTCATGTAGAACCAGGTCTTGGTTACAGCTGGGCATTCATTTGCAAGCAGATCACACTGCTATACAACATATATACAGACCTGAACTACAGTAGTCTCAGCTGGTGAACACTCATCTCTGCAACTGAGCTCTGTGGAAAATGAAATATAAATTCAAAATCGTAGAGGAACTTGAAGAAGGCAGAGACTGGTCAGGAAAGAGAAAAGCAACTGGATTATCATATTAGCAGTCTTTGGAGCATTGATTTTGGCTGATTAATTTTCAGATAATTAAAAATGTAGTCAGATGTAAGGATTTTTTTGTTTATTAAAAAAAAAAAAGGTCAAGAATTGGCCAATGATAATGCCATTCTCACAGCATGAGAATCTGTGGGTGTACCTCTTGTTGATACAAACAAGCAATTGATCCTGAGGAACCAGACACACCTAACAACTAATAACAGTTGCTTATCTGGTACTATCACCTGAGTTTCTCAGTTTCCACTGTGAGTAAATTTGGAGCTTTGTAGCATAGCAGAACCGTTCTACAACACACCATCCTTGCAGTATATTTGTTGAAAACATCCACCAGCTGATAGGAATCAACTGTTTGTTCTGAGGTTGTTTCAGGGAAGAAGGTTTTTATTAGCAAAACTGACTACAGCCAACCTCATTTTCTCTCTCTGGCAGCTTGCTCCTAGCCACACCTTACAGCATGT